GAGCCGGTGAGATTTGAACAGCCGAACTGCTGAACTGCAGTCAGCTGAAGTAGCCTGCAGTGCTGCATTTAACCACTGTGCCACCTCGGCTCTCTGTGTTTCTCTGTGTTTCAAAAAAATAAAAGCTTCAAACAGTAATCTTTTTGATTCTTTGGCAACCTTTCAGATTAAAGAACTTCTTTCTGATAAAGACAGCACACAATATTTTGTGAAGCTTCATATTTTTGCTGGACAACTCAGCCTGAATGAGCAGAATGCCACAAGAACGGTTTATACGTTGACAGGCAAGCCAGCAGATATCTTCAAGGATGAAACGGTTAGATATAATTGTAAAGCATATTTTGTCTTGAACAATTTGTAATGATTTTTACAATATTCTACTAGCTTAATTCAGCATAATTCAAATTGTTGTTTTTAAAATAATGTTTTAATAAGTAATTTTCTGATTGCACTTTCACTATTCATCTAATATATAGGCATAGAGAGATAATATATAGGCATATAGACCTAATACAGATAGCCTCAGCTTACAACCACAGTTAGGGCTAGATCTTCCATTATTTGGCAAGACATTTGTTAAGTGAGTTGCACCCAATTTTATAAATATTTTTTTGCCATGGTTGTTAAATGAATCGCTATAGTTCTTAAATGAATCACATAGTCATTAAGCAAATCCAGTTTCCCTGTTGACTTTGGTGGTTGGAAGCCAACTGGAAAGATTGCAAATGATGATCACATAACCCCAGGATGTCACGATTGTCATAAATATATGTCACTGTATGGTCATAAGTACAAGGACCAGTCACTTTTTCCCCATGCTTTTAACAGTTGCTAAATGAATGATTTTAACTTTTGAATGGTTGCTAAATGAATGATTGTAAGTCAAGGACTACCTGTATATAGATGTACATGCAGTATACATACATATCGCCATCTTCTATTAATGACCCCATAATTCCTTGTGGGGTGGAGTCTGGGCAACTGAATGGAGCTAGNGAAATTGACTAAAGTGTTGTTATTCTCCCCACCTTCTCCTTTCATTTTCTGTGTGCTGTGGAGATGAGGGGAATTGCTGCAGTAGTTATGGCAGCTAAAAACATGAGGTAATGGCTTTTAGCAATAGCAATAGCAGTTAGACTTATATACCGCTTCATAGGGCTTTCAGCCCTCTCTAAGGGGTTTACAGAGTCAGCATATTCCCCCCAACAACAATCCGGGTCCTCATTTTACCCGCCTCGGAAGGTTGGAAGGCTGAGTCAACCCTGAGCCGGTGAGATTTGAACAGCCGAACTGCAGAACTGCAGTCAGCTGCTGCATTTAACCACTGCGCCACCTCGGCTCTTTTGTTCCTTGCTCTCCTCATTTCTGAACCATTTCTTTCAAGCTGCTTTGAAAGATTGGGAAGTACAAATAGGAATAAATAGGAACATGTCCTAGGTTACAATGGGGTGGATAGTTTAGTATGTAAGAATCCAACCATCATTTCAGCAAACTATAGGAGCCCTTACAATTATTAACACTTGGCTATTGAGTAATAGCAAAATGAATTTGGAAGAGGAAGTTGGATTTGTACATTATTTTTAAAAATCTAAAAAGGAACTGGCAATATTCCATTAAAATGCCATTCTCTGTGTATTTATGATTCCCATGATAAATGAGCACATTCCCTGTGGAGGTTGGTGTTAGGATTTAATCTTTCTTCTCAATGTCAAATTACTGAGATCTTCTCTAAGAAATACAATAAGAGATTTACTAAGGGGTGGGCTGCTACGGGCTTGCCCAGGCTTGGGAGAACCTGTAGCTAACGTTATGGCTGGTTCAGAGAACCTCCATATGTCACTCCAGGCTGGCCCCTCCCACTACACCCCACCCTCCCAGGAGTCTCCATGTGGCCTGTTCTGGATGCAAGGTAAGTGCAGGGCCTGCCCGGAGGCTCGGGAAGGGAGGGAAAATGGGCCACCTGTAAATTCCGGAAGGCTGGAGACGCACCTGTTTCTGGCCTTCAGAGGGCCTCCGGAGCCTGGGAGAGGTGTTTTTGCCCTCCCAGAGGCTCAAGAAAAGCCTCCAGAGACAGAGGAAGACAAAAATGGGTTCCCCACCATGGTGCAGGAGGCCGACTAGGCCACGCCCACCATGGCCATGCCCGCCCAGCAACAGGCAGAGAACCCATTGCTGAAATTTTTAAAGCCCACTCCTGGATTTACTTAACGCTTTTTTAAAAGCATGACTCCAAATTATAGAGCCTTTTCATTTAATTAACTGATATTCCTTCCCACCCCCTCAATCCTTCTGCAGAATGTTTGTGTGTTCACGGAAAATGTGACAACCAGATAGACGGTGATGGGAGTTGCCTTCCTGGCACATGTAAAAGTGGCTATGCTGGAGATCTCTGTGATGCACGGGTGATGCCATGCGGGCCTTTTTTTCAGTTTTGTGATGTGCAGGCTGATTGCATTTTGAGGAATGGTACCATGAGGTAAGTACATAATGTACATCTTTTGTGCCATTCAGTAGTTTACCTAGGACTAACACTTATCTTCTCAGGTATTTGCTTTATGAACATTTTTGCATATACTTGTAACTTTATCATTGGGTTTTTTTTTTCTTGCCTATCCTATCTGATTATGCAATACTTCAAACAAAAGAGGACTGATTGTTATTGGTACTGTTTTTCACCTCATGGACCAGCAGTCCCCCTCAAGGGAAGTGTCAAGCCGGAAGCTGGCCTGAGTCAGACCATTTTCTCAGCTTCAGTGTTGCCACAGGGAGTGGGGAATAGAGATACAGGGGTTTGTAGCCAAAACAAAATACTTTCTCTTGGGAACCAAGGACATTCCCACAGGTGGTCGGAAAGAGGAGGAGTGAAGTTACTAGGCAACTGGAAGACACGATGATTAGATCATGTGACTGATTTTTGTGGAAGGGAGGAAACGTTTACTTTTAATTAGGTGAAAACCGCGGGAATATTAAAAATCGGTTTTCACCAGCCTGTGTCAATATGATATATCCAATAAACCAGTTATTTGAGGAATATACCTGCCACTTATTATGGGTGTATTACTTGGAATCCTGGCAGAGGTTCTCACAAGAAATTTCTGTAAGAGAAGAATGGGCAGAGTCAAGTGAGTAATCAACTTTGAGTCGCAACTTTCCCACAAAACATTGAACCCCCCTCTTGAAATCCATTGACTCTTATCTAGTACCAATTTAGTGCATTCAGTTCATTCAATTCTTGTCTATAGGCATGTGTAATAAATCATCTTAACTGGAACTCAATGTATGGTTCTGGTTCTTCCTGTTTGACAGTTTCCTAAGTATTTCTTTTTTATTTCATATTATACATCAATGAGCATACAGACATTTTCATACTCACAAACTGGCTTTTGATCCATTGTTTCAACTCACCATGTGATATAGTAAATTTAAATCTTTTCAGACGGGCACTCAGAAAGACACGTTGCTTGCCAACTTCATAGACAGGTTAGCCAGCAATACATCTTCTTTTGACATAGACTTTATTCCTGCCATGTACTGAAATCTCAATATAATTTTCTCCACCTGCATAAAATGCAAGTAGCAAATTGCAAAAGCATATCCAGATGACAGCAGTGAAGTATTGGCCTTAGTAAGATGAAGGCTCCCAACATTCTTGAATGCTCAACTACATGTCAAGCTTCCTGCACCATCACTTATTTTATCTCTCTATAGAAGCTGCTGTTCAGTGCTGAAATGTGTCTTCAATTTCTTTTACCCTTTCCACTCCTATTAATTCTAGGTTCTTTTATGCTCAATTTTAGCTGTGTTTGCAAACCTGGCTTTGAAGGAGATGGGATAATTTGCAGTGAAGTTGATCCTTGTGCTCATATAAATCCACATAGTTGCAATGCTAATGTAAGTATAAATTCTTACTGCTTACTGATTGAGTAAACCATAAATATAGACATGATCTTATTTGATCCCATTTAAATTCTGAATTACATCTTCCAAACTGATATCATTTTCAAAATAAAGAATTTAAAATAGTCTTGTATATCTCAAATTGGTTTCATTATTTTATTTGCATGAACGATCACTAAAGGAAGCTCAACAATGGCCAGGACGAACTTTCCTCTTCTTTTTCCAGTACATGCATAAATTTTCTAAAAGAATAAATAATAATCATATAGGTCATTTTTCAGGTTCAGTTCACCTGTTTTGGGTTTTTTGCTTTTTGCTTTTTATGATTTCATAGCATCTGCTTTAATTAGTCTATTGAACAATGTACTTGCCTAACCATGGATTTTTAACAGTTTATTTTTGTGAATAAGAAGCTATCTTTCTTGATTTTAGGTTAGTTATTCAAATTAATCAATGTATTGTTTTCTCAGTCCTGAGCCCAGTCATTTTTCAACAATGAAAATTGCACATAAAATAGTAATTCTAGAATAGGGATAAGCAAAGCTGAACAAGAAACCAGTCCATCATAAGTAAAATCTGATCATTTTTCTTAGCATTGAGAGAACTCATTTGTTGCATGCTATTACACAATTTATATTGAGAGAGCGTACTTTCCTTTCCTCTCACTTAATTATTATGTATAAAGAGTAGTATTTACTCCCAGAAATATACTTGTAGGCAGACTGCATCAAGACTGGTCCTGGAACTCATGAGTGTATATGCCAACCAGGATGGACAGGAAATGGAAGAGATTGTTCCGAAATAAACAATTGCCTGCTGTCATCTTTTGGAGGGTGTCACACTAATGCTACTTGCCAATACATAGGTCCAGGCCAAGTAAGTTTTCTTCTTGCTTAACTTTTTACGTAATATAGATTTTATACAATTAGAATAGACAAGGTGTCAACTTACAGATCTCAATAATGGAGAACATCCTTCTTCAATATATTGGAAATGGAACCCCAAACATTTTCCATCATCTTGGTCAGTGGTTACCCTGATATATTTGGAGGGCCCAACTTTGAAGAAGGTGGTTCTATATTGTTGGGTTTATGGCATTTGCAATAACAGTATGGTTGACTAGCATGGATAAGAAGGATACCCATTGAAGGAATTATAGTCATTCTAGAATTGCTGAAGCACTGATTGAAAACAATTTATATATTTACTATCAGCCTTATATCAACCTAGCAGGGCATAAAGAGAAAAAGAATGAATGCCATCAAGCCAAACCCAGAGACTCATCTAAATGAAATGACTATCTCTTGATTTGAAGATATGATATAGAAGAAATGTCAGACAGAGGGAATAGAATAAAATAGAATAGAATAGCAGAGTTGGGACCTTGGAGGCCTTCTAGTCCAACCCTGTGCTCATGTAGGAAACCCTACATCATTTCAGCAAATGGTTGTTCAATTTCTTCTTAAAAGCATCCAGTATTCAAGCATTCAGAACTTCTGGAGGCAAGTTGTTCCATTGATTATGGTAATTGTTCTGTCAGGACATTTCTTCTTAGTTCTAGGTTGCTTCTCTCCTTGATTAGTTTCCNCATGAACAAAGGAAAGGAGTACAAATAAATGGGGACAGTAGGACAGGGACGGAAGGTATGCTGGTGCGCTTATGCACGCCCCCTTTCGCACCTCTTAAGAATAGAGTGAGGTCCACGGACTGAGAGAGAGTGACTGGCCCAAGGTCACTCAATTGGCTTTGTGCATAAACTGGGACTAGAATACATTGTCTACTATTTCCTACCTTGGTGCCTTAACCACAGATCCCCTTTCAATGGGATTTATGGGTTAATCCAATTTATATTTTTAATATATAAAATTTCAGGGTTACCATTCAAACAATCCAGTAATACAACTGATCATTTGTATGGCATTTGGTCTATGCATGATTTTTTTTTAACCAATGGTGAACATTGTTTGTAATAATGTGATGAACTTCATAAATAAATGGGTTGTTCTAAGTCCCAAAGTTGCATAATCTTATTCTGTGAATGCAGTCATGTATGGTGTATGCATAACTACACAGAGATCTTGTTTGTTTGACCTATAATATTCTGCTTGATAATATCTTACGATCTTAAATTAGAATCTGATCTTTTCCAGTAGAACAACACAGATAATAGAGTTAGAAGGAGAAGGAAGAAAAGGCAGGAGTTATAGGAAACTGCTATCTTCTCAATTATATGTCAGCATTGTGCTTTGACAGAAACAAGCACTATTTCAGTGTGTGTTTCCTAACAGCCCAATTAAGTGATGTTTCTCTGTGCCAGTCTACATTTTGATAAAGATTTTTGTTATTTGTGCAGGGTTCACGAAAGCTTCAGGAACTGATGCAGTACCACATTGTTTCTCATACACAGGTAAATGTGAAAACATCTTCTCTACTCAATTCATTTGTAGTTATTGCAGAATGGATATATATGCATCTTCCTCTCATACATACAAAAGTTATTTACCATTTTAAAAAGTCCCTCATATGTAGCTTCTCAACTGATCCCATTAGGCTTCCATTGATGGAACAAAGATGGAAGATCTTCACCAACCCTCCTTTCTCCTATCTCCAATATATAGATGAGTCATCCGTATATCAGTGATAACTGATTGCTTGATAATAAATGAATAATGTTGCTACAGCTGTTATGATATCACAGCTTTGTGAGGTCTAAACCACATCCACAACAAATGAACAGTAGTTTATTAAACTTTGCAATAAACTTTCTCATTGCTAAAATCTGTGATGATTCCACAGTTAGAAGTGTTAATGTCCAACTATCACAAGAGAGGGAGTCTGCAATAATGTTTGGTGGCTGGAAAAGAATAGGTGCATCATTTAGCTGCCAGCATTTCCATGGATAAAGATATTACTACTCATTATAATCCATGACAAAACAGTAACTCCTGTCATTCTTTACATGACATTTAATGACATTAAATAAATTAAATTCTCATTTGTTTCTTACAGCTGGAGGTTGCCAGCCTAATCTCTATAGGACACATCAAGACTCTGGCTAAACAGTTCGTCTATTTCAACTTCACCGAAAATGTAAATCCATGCAAATTCAATTCTGACATAATAATTTTGTTCTGCTGTTTTAATTCAATAAAATATTTTGATCTGCAGACGCTTTGCCTGTGAAGAGTAAGCATTAAGAATAATAGAGAATGGCACAAAATAACAGAAACATTCTGAAATGAAGTCCAGTAATTTCAAAAGATAGTAATCTCAATTTATGGTTATAATTTATGCAGGGGCAGGTCTTGGTCAATGGAAAGAAAATAGAAGAAGCTGGCATTGCTGCAAAAAATGGCATGATTTATACTCTTTCTAGTGTACTTATACCTCCTTCAATAATTCCAATTTTGCCACAAAGATGTGATAAAGAGAAATCTGAACTTAAGTTGGTAAGGTTCTTCTGTCCAGTAAAGTTCAAAATAGTTTCCAATCAATATTTATTTCCTTTTTTGCCTTCCTTCTCCTAATTAAATAATACTCTGCTTCTATACTCATTTGAAATGTTTCTGAACTGTTCATCACACTATGCATATCCATGGAATGTACAATATTAAATATATTTTATAAATTTTAAAATTGCAGAGAGAGAAAGACAGGAAGTGAGAGAGGGAGAGAGGGGGAGAGAGAGATTATGTCAGCCTTTGGTTTGCTGCTTGCTTTTCGGCTGCCATTGAAACGGGGAGGGACGGCATGGTATTTGGGTGAGAGAAATAATCTGTGCAGGAGGACTTTTAATTGGGGGTTGTTCTCACCATTCGTTTGCGCATGTGGAAGGAGGGGAGTTTCCCGCTAAGGCCAACTGTCCGGCATACCAACCTGATGATGATTTTTGAAGGTGTCTCCCACCTGACAGCTGTGGAGATATATGATTGGACTATGGACTGGGATACCAAGGGGAGGGGAAT